TATTATAATCACTTTTATCAAGTTAACTGAAGGGTTCATCTCATCACAAAGTCTTCATCCTGACAAAAGCAGTGGAGCAAACACCGAATTGCCAAGTGTCCGAACAACGTCATGGTTTGAATGTAATCTATTCATAAATCCAGGGCTTTCGAGTTTCCTCTATAACCAATTGCCTTAGTGGAATAGCTCAGTTTTACGGATTTAATTTCTTAAGATTGTACAGAAGAACCTGTTATAGTCTAGGTGTTTTGTTGAAAGTCAAAAAATTTCATTTTTAGAGTTCAATTTCCAAGCAACTGACATAAACTAGATTCACCTGCTCGACTATTCCATCTGTGAAGATCATTATCATCACTGAACGTCTTAAATAAAAAGTATAATAATGTCATATGCAAAAGGATGCCCCATGTTGTCCGCACCATATGAAAAGAAAATGTTATATTGATTAACCGCAAGAGCAGGGTACAGTGTTTGAGGGTATATTCTGGGTAAGGTCAAAATCCTTGTTTTAAAATGCGTCAAAGATCTGTAACTTTGAACCATTTACAGAGTTTATTAATTTATATGATATTCAAAGAATTGCAAGTTTGCAAATGTGATTCATTGCTTAACATCTTTAAAGTAACATAAACTTCTTTAAAAGTCTTTACAAAAACTTGAGAAATAATGAAAAAACAGATTCAAACAGAATGCCTCAAATGATGAAATGATCTTCCTCACTTGGATGCCCCTAAGTTGTTGAAGTCGATCCGATTCTTGTTACGTATTTTCTGTATGATTCTCTTGATTGTGGAGTAATTCTCGATAGTGCGCCCTGGGACTCCGCTATGATTTTCGCAATGAGCGTTCTCATCATACCACCTGGGGTACGGGGCTTCATGGATTTCCCTGGATATGGTGACACCACATGTGTGTGTCAAAAGGTTATTTGTAGAGCTCTTTGTAGGTCATGGGAATAGGGTCGAAATATTCCCATTTTTATGAAACATGTGAAGATAGTTAATGTGAATGTAAAGAAATGAGCAAAAATGCAAAATGTTTAAATGCATGATGCATGAAATGTCCGAGGCATTGATCCGAAAAATGTGCCTATTATCCTGAATAATCCTTATTGGGGACAAGAATGTTACGTCTGAAGAGACAAAAAACTCTTTGATGGTATAGATCCCGTACAACCTTGGGAAAGTTGATTCGTCTTCCGCTTTTTCACCGGTTGAATATCCTGTCGAACCATTCCGGTTCCTTTGGCTAAACTTGTGCGGGTGATAAGTTGCTTGCCCCAAAAAAGGTCTCGAATGACTGCATCTCCGGCCTTCACTCTATGCCGAGCTCGTTCCAAACGAAAGTGCCATTGGAGCCCTCCATCCGAAGTTTGTCGACTTGTTTTTGGAATTCATCAATGATGGTCTCCGGCTTAGCTAGGGTTTCACCATCTTGTTCTCGTAATTTTTGAAAGGACTCTCCGGGTCAGTAACCATTTCCTCGTCTTGCCCCTGCAACCTTTGCCTCTGAGTATTCTTTGATCACGGTTGGACTTCTGAGCTTTTTATCTCTTTGTATTATAACTCCTTTGTCCATTAATGCAGATTATTTATGTTTAACAAACACATTTTTGGTGGATCAACACCTCGTTTAAATGATGCGAATGATGAAAACAAAACAAAAGAGAACAATTAATGAAAAAGGTTAGTGAGGTGAAAATAATAAAAAAGAATCATGAAAATAAAAGTCCTACCCCACATGATATCTACCCCACATGCTTATGATTCCTACCCGGACATGATCTCTATCCCGCATGTTAATTTTGAACTAGTCCTAACCGCATACATTTCTAGTTCACATGTTTTGAACAAAAAGTAAAGCAGGAAATAAAATCAAAGTAACCTAGGGTTTGGAATGAGGTTTCGGGGTGGGCTCTAATTCTCCATAATCTCCCGGTTTAGGTTCTAAAAAGGTACTCGAGTTCTCCTTGCTGGTGTCCCCTTGGGCTTGCCAGACCCTTAGTCCTAAGCCCATTACAAGCTCACGTGGACTAAGTTAAACTCGAGAGGATACATTCCCTTATGCCCATACGGAGAATAAATTCACACGAAGACATAAGGTATATGAATCCCGAAGGTTACTTGCTAGGCCCATACGGAGAATAAATTCCCACGAAGGCGTCGCTTTCACCCCCACTTAAAAGGGTTCGGAGCTCGGGTATAGAGCCTTAGATGGAAAATTTTGAAAATCTGAAATCATTGAGAAAAACGTTAGTACAACTATTTATTTGAAAAATAATCAAAGATAAATAATTAGAATCGAATAAATAAATTAAATTTTAAACTTATAATTTTCACTAAAAAAGACAACCGGAAATTAATTCTGGCCTGACTCACTTAATAGTCCCCAGCGGAGTCGCCAAGCTGTCGGAACCGTCTTTCGGTTGGGCCCCGGAATTGGGCTTCGACTTGAAAAATGTGGATTGGAGTCGCCACCGACCACTTTAAAACGAATTTAGGTGGGTCGGACACCATCTTACCTGATCTGCGTTGTACCAGAAACATATCGAGTTCGGGAGTCGGTTACGGTCAAGGAAGGATTAGCACCCTTGAACCGCCCTTTCGGTACCAATTAATTTGTCGGTTGTCTTAGTTGTGAAAATTTGAAATTTAACTTAAAATTTAAACTATCCGATTCGAATTGTTTACCTTTGATCGATTGAAGCTATCCCTAAAAAAGAAAGAAGAATGTTAGATTAGAAAAATAAATACTAAATTAACTAAAGAGGAAAAAATATAAATTAAGAGAAAAAAATGTTAAAATATGTGTAAATTAAAAACGACAGGCTCCCAGGCAAGGTAAAAACTATTGTGATTTTTTTTGCCATTATGACATAAGCTTTGGCAAGTGTCATTTGCAAATCAAGGTTAACTGACAGATGGTTCTTAACTTCCCTATGCTCTTGACACAACGCACACCAATGCATGCAACAATGACCCATGCAAGGGTTGCACGGGGAGTTCTTGAGATGATATTTCTTCTGCAGTGATTGTCGGAACAAACTGTTGTAGATGTCGGACAACCACCAAGTAAAAACCAGGGTCTCGCCAATGAGAAATGATGTTTTAGGGTCGATGTCGTGGAAGAACAAAGCTGATGCCGCGACCAGCATCCCACCCTCTACGCATAGAGCGCGACAGAGGCATGCATCGTTCTTTGGGATATCGTCTCTCAAGGTTTCGATGTTTTTCTTGTGCTCCGGTCGGCCTTCGTTGTTGATTTATTCCCTGGCCGAAGCTATAAGTTCTTTGGTTTCATTCATCTTCGTCGTGTATTGGACATCGAAGATGTCGACCTCGAGATGCAACACCTCGTAATAAGTGGCGTAATACCGGTTTTCTTCAATGAACAGCGTGCGACCATTGTGGTTCAGTGACTTCCAGAGAAGGGTTTTCGGAGTTAGCCCGAAAACAAGGAAGTTACAAGGCGAGGAGCATTTTCGGAGCACGTCGGAGATCGGCTTCATCTCGTAATATGGCATGTGGTAACTGTCGTTGGATTTGGGAGCATGATGGAGGAGGGTGTTTTAGAATCCAACTTCATTGTTGTCGTGAAGGATTTGAGGTAGTAAGGTACGGTTGAGGATGGTGTTTGGGAGCCACGACCGAGGGTCATTGGTTGGTAGATGGTGTTAAGAGCGGGCTATTGAGCAATGGTTTAGAAGTCGATGGATGTTGTTGGCTCATGGAGATGTTAATTTGGGTCTACGGGAGAGTTTTCAGATAGTCAAGGGGCATGTCTACCGTGGTGAACTCCGAGGAGCGATGTTGGAGCTATGGACGAGCGACCATAGCCTCTGATTCTATCTTCACTTCTTTCTCTCCGTTTTCCCTCCTTACGATGGGGAATTACATGGTTTTATAGCCTTAGATTCGGCTATTTTTAGAGTCCGATTTGGACTCAACTACTCTTATTTTTAGCGTTTTATTCCTATTGAACTACTGCTTGTTAACGGGTTTGTCGTTCCATGCTTCCTCGTTTGTTGCTGGCCGAGAATGGTGGGTTTGTTGCGTGAGAAACGGCCGTGCAAAGTGTGGCGTTGGTGGAGAAACTGCAAAGGTTTTTGCTGGTTTGCTGCACACGTGGGGTATGGACCTGCAAAGCAAATGAAAACAAATTTAAATATAAATGCATATATTATATAATATGATTTATAATGTAAATATATTATATAATATTATAACATTAGAGGACGAAATTAGGTGTCTACAACCGGGAATCTCATTCCCGGTAATGTTTTATTACCAATAGTAGATTTTTTGGGGTATATTACCGGGAATGTCATTACCTCCCTTCCCTTAGGTATTGTAACATTACCGGCGTTTTGGACTAAAATGCCCTTAAATTTTTATTTTTTTTCAAAAATATCCTTCTTCTGTCATTGAATAATAAAAATTCTACGAATGTTAAATTACAAATTTATCCTTAAATTATTTTAGATTTACAAAAAAAGTCTATAATTAAAATTGTATATGAAGTTTAGGGGTTAAATTTTTTTTACCCTTTCATTAAATATTTTTTATATTTTTAATTTTGTAAAAAAATTATATAAATATTATGAATTTAATTTTTTAAAGAAAATATATAAATATTTTACAATTTGTAATATTATACAAATATATAATAAGGACAATTTGGTCAAATATACATTCCAATAATCTTTTATTCCTTTGACCAAACACGGTAATCTTACATTCCTGCTAAACCAACCAAACACAAAATAATACAACATTCCCAGTAATCCTATTCCCTGATAATCTTTTATTCCCACTGGTAATCTTACATTCCGTGAACCAAACGCACCCTTATTACCATACAAAATGCCGTGTGTTGCTATGAACTTTTATCAACTTAATAATTTATTGCTTTATGTAGATTCATATACATATTAAGCAAATTTTATTAATTTGGAATAAAGATTTATTCATTTAATATTTTTGTTTATTTTTTTAAAGTAGTAAAAGAGAGTTCCATTAACATGGTGCAATTACAGGAAATTTACATGCTACTACACCCTCGTACAAAGATCCACACTGGCTCACTGAGATCTCATCCTGTTAAGCTGGTTCAGAGCCGGTTGCAGAATATTGTAGGCTACCCAGAGAAGAGCGGGAGCCACCACGAAGAGGAGGAGTGTCCCCCGGTTGTCACTCGAAGCAGCGTCCGCGACCGTGGCGATTTCACTGGCCGATGCTTCCGGTGAAAACACGAACCCCGAAGCAGCCAACCCACCGAGGCCTAACCCGATGACCACCCCCTTGGTGCTCCTCATTCGGTTCAGCTGGTTGAGTGCCGGTTGAAGGATGTTGAAGAGAACCCACGCTATGGCGGGGATTATGGGAAGCAATAGGGCTAAACCACGGTTGTCTCCCTCGGCTATTTCGGCTATCTGCTGGGCGGCGAAGGCGGGATCGCATGAGCTGAGGGTGGAGAAGATAGCACCGGCAATGGCGGTGCCGGCAAGTGAAGAAGAAGGGGGGTTGGGTTTTGAGAGGGTGAGACCCTTGGGGAGGTTTCGCATGGAGAGGAGAGAGATGGGTTTTGGGTTAGGTTTAGTTGGGATGGTCATCTTGGTTGAGCTTATGCTCAAGCATTTTGCATTCAGCATCGCCATTGTTGCTACGCTTGCTGCCATTCTCTTTCTTTTCTTTGCTTGTGTGTTGTGTTTAGGTTTGTGCTGCTGATCCCAGGGGGAGGAGATTTTGTGGCAGACACAGGTTGACGATGTGGGATATGGAACAGTGATTTAATCTGAAGCAAATCAATATTGTCCAATGAAATGAAGATTTCTCTTATCCTCGCTCAGATATAGACCTCATCCCCACCACAAGTTTATTATCGCCTCCATACCTCAGTTGGCTTCATATAAGAATAAGTGATACGTACGTTCATATTTAAAAAAAATTATTTTAAAAAAAATTATTTAAACATCAAAAATCAAAATTTGAATATAATTTATACTCTTATTTGTATTTTAAGCCAAACATCAACACCCCCATAAGGTTCATTGCTCTCTAATTAGTTGACTGCAGTAGAATTTAATTTTATTAATTGATTAACTAGATATTCGTTGATTTTTTAAATTCAATTATTGATTTAAAATTAGTTAATAAATTGAATTAATTAAAGTAATAAAAACATTAAATATTTAATGTAACTATATTATATAATATGTATTATTCTTGTACATGTTAAGAATTAAGATCCAATAATTTATTAATCATACTAAACCCATTAAACTATTAAATTTTATCTATATTAAACCCAAATTAGTCTAATTAAAATGATTATAATAAGTTTAGTTAATTGAGAAACTACTTTTTAACAAATCAATATTAATTATTGCTGCATAACACATTATGTCAAGTGATTTTTTTTTTTTGAAATATAACTTGCCGACACTATAACATGTCGTGTGACACTATCCTGGCTTGGCAACTCAACCCCGGTCCCTCGTCTACCTTCTACCAAAAGCTCAAAACTTGACTCTTTATTTCATGTAATATTCAAGAAAAGTACTCGGAAATCCGGAGGTCGGCTAATATTAGAGAAATGCTTCGACCGACGAGCAAAACATAGATAAACCGTGATTCGGAAATGAAAACGATGTCGTTTCGAGGCAGGAAGAACATAAGGGGAATATGAAAATTGATCCATTGACGATTGAAGGAAGTAGCTGAAGAACAGAAGTAAATGACCATTGCCAATAACATAAGTTCATCATTCTACTTCAACCAACAAAGGGCTTGGCAGTTCAAAAATATCCAAGTAAAACATGTTTCTCTCGAGCAAACAAAAAATGTTCGGTAAACCATACAACACAATCGAAACAGTGTAACCTTCTGGATGAAACAGTTTTGAAATTATACCTCAGTAGTCTGATGGAGAAATGACATCATCAATCTTCAAGATCATCTTTACAACTTGTGTTGCTAGTAAGATCTGTTGCTGCTTCCCGATCAGCGTTTCAAAGACATCTTGTTGCCGCATATCATTAGTCCCGACGTCGTTGCAGTCTATTCCATAGTGTGGATTGTTCTCCTGTACATGGATATAAGCAAACAAAATTAACGACATACTACGCAGTGGTGAGATTATATAAGTTCAAAGTTATTACCATAAAAATCATAGTAATTACCTTAATTTGCTGAGATTTCACTGCCGATAGTGTCTCAATAGGTTGGAGACCGCTATTCTCAGCCAGGGCCATGGGGACCGAGTCTAGAGCATCTGCAAATGCCCGGATCGCATACTGCAGATAAAAACAAAATTTTGATATTATATAATTACTCGAAAAGAAAGTAACCAAATTTAGAGGATTATATGCGCTTCTTACTTGCTCAACTCCTGGATATTTATCAGCAGCTGCCTCTACAGCAATTGAGCAAGAAATCTCAGCTGAGCCGCCACCGTAGACGATAGAATTATTGCGAATGAGATTCCTGGCCACACACAATGCATCATGGATACTGCGCTTTGTCTCCTCAATCATCATCTTGTTGCCTAAGGAATCATTAACCACAAAGGAAATCCTTTATGAGATTTATATGACTAGTCCATATCAATTCAGCTTGCATTAACCTTGGAATATTCTACTTTTTGTTACTTTTGGCTCTCTACAACATTATAAAGTTACTGTATATCACTGCATAGCTCTATTTTATGATAAACATATGTAAATGGCCAACCAGTTCTAGATCAAATGATCAATCAAGAAAAAAGATGTTCAAACATCTCAAAACAAGAATGGAGCAAATAAATTGCATACCAAGAGGAAGGAAGCAAGAGACTCTTCACATGTCAAAGTGTCATGTACGTTTCATCCTTACATTACTCTTCAACCAAGTCATTTTCCCATTTGTTTATTTGGTTTTAACAGTTTGCTGGTAAAGTAATCCGTGCTCTAAAATTGTCCAAGATTTTTTTTTGGTAGGAGATACTGTCTCAAAGAATAAATCAACAAGTCTTTACTATTGAGACTAGGTGGCATATTTTATATCAAACTACATAGGAATAGGAAATTAAAAACAGCACAAACTCATTTTAGATAACCAGTCACGTAGGCTTAACCAGGATACAAAACCAAATTACGATGACTGAATAAAAGATAACAGAACATAAACCAAACTGAAGGGAATAGAATCTACCTCCACGAATAAATATGGTCACAGCCCTTGAATTTGCACAGTGTTCAATGTACAACATTTTATCTTTTGTGGTGCCAAAAGACTTCTCTCTGACCACACCAGCCTAAGAAAATAGAGTTAAATAAGAAACAAGTGTTTGCCATAAGAGAGATGCAATGCCTGGGGATTAAGCTGAAATTTTACAATGTAAATACTTCATCAATCCTAAAATGCTAGTCCAAATGAGCAATGCTTTAGTGGTTAAACAAAAGTGATCAAATGTTAAATCATCTCACTTTAGCTTCAGCAGTTGTCTTCTATCTATTGCATAAAAACATTTTCTTAGGGAGGAATTTATCGAACACATATTTCTAAGCAATGTAATACAGAGAAGGAAATAATGGAGCCAGCATACCCTTCCTAGCTTTTCTGGGGTCAACTCCTGGAACCTTGGCACAATCCTTCCACCTATAGACATAAATATAATTAGATTGCTCATAAGGTTGCACCGCATCTCAGCAGCTAAAAATTTACCTATCATGAATATGGTTACCATGCCTTCAAATGAAAATAAGAAAAACAGAAACAAGATTGCTCACCGCATCTCAGCAGCTAAAAATTTACCTATCATGAATTTGGCTACCATGCCTTCAAATGAAAATAAGAAAAACAGAAACAAACCTGTAGCTATTGCTATGAGCTCCAACTCCACACCACCAACCCATCTGACAGCAGGCAAGTTCCTGTGCATTAATAAATGATTTGCCTCATCATCAAATCCCCATTGACAGATAACCAAGGTTGCACCAACATCCTGCAACAAAATTACAATCAGAAAAGTTTTCGACCGCAAAACTGCAAAGATGACTGTAACAATTATCCACCTGCTTCCCTGTCTCCCCAAAGAGAATAATCTAAAGAAACAGAATGTGAAAGATCAACCTAAATTGAAAAAGAGACTCCACATAAACACAAATCCATACCTTGCACTTCTGAACCATGTCATCGAAATACTTTTGCTCTTGCAGACGCAAAGTTTGAAACTTTTCCACTGTATCAATCTCTACCTTATGCTTGGTCTTTGGCTTAGGTGGCTCAAATGGGCAAGTTAATATGGCAATTTTTGCATCTTCAATTTGCTTTGGCATCTGTGGATGACTCATGTCTTTATCAACAGTAATTCCATATATTAGCTCAGTATCCTCTAATTTTCCCCCAACTTTCCCCTCGACCTTGATCATATCTAAATTGACATCTTTCCTCTCTAGATCAGCAACAGAGAGAACTGCTTTAACAGAAATCTCAGCCAAATGGCGCTTGCATCGGTTCACACTGCAAAACAAATAAAATACCTACAAATCAACCTCTCAATACTAACAAGTTTTTGAACTGCTAGCTAACAGCAGGAGCTATTTCAATTGAAGCACTGCATAGCTCTGATGGTTCAATGGCCATGCATTAACACCCTACCACAGCCAAAACAACCCTGGCCATTTCTGGTTTGCAAACATCACAGTAAATCAAAACAGATTTTATTTGAGGACCAGTAAGCCCCAAATCGACCGATCAAAAAGATAAACTAACGTCCTAGCAAGGTAAGGCATTGAACAACCATTTAAACACTATTCTTTCCATAAAAAATGATATTACTATCAGTCATCTGTTTAACAGCTTCCATGACATAATTTGCTATAGTGAATATTAATGGAACCTTTTACTGATCAAGGTATGTCTTAAGGAAAAAATCTTTATTCAACTGCAAGCTACAATACTAACAGAATATATAAGGCAACCATGATTACGTAATCTGATGCGGTAAATTCTAGCAGTGGAGATACTAGATAGGAAAAAACAGAATAGACATCATATACATTTAATTTACCTTCAGATAGAAAAACACAATCTTGAAACAAATTAACATTTAGCCATGACCACATAAGAAATTAGCATAATGCCTGTTTAGTTACAGTATGAATGTTTTTCTAATTATGGGACCTCAACATTGGTAAGGGACTAAGGGCAACAGACCAAGAAAAAGGGCTAGGAACTTACATTTTAGAGGACAAAGTGGTCATGCAAGTTTGAACCAAAGGTTCTATATTTGTTGTTCCAAAATCAAACTTCTGAGATATGTGCTCCAAATGTTCAACAGCAATTCTTGAAGCCATTTCATAACCCTCTGCAATCCGAATGGGATGAATCCCACGTTCTAGTAACCGCTCTGCCTGCTCAAGAAGTGCTCCAGCCATGACAACAACACCAGTCGTTCCATCCCCAATTTCGTAATCCTGGCTCCGAGACAGTTCAACCATCAGCTTAGCAATTTGGTTGTCAACATCCATCTGTTCCAATATTGTCGCCCCATCATTTGCTGAAAAAAACCCATGAAATAAAGAAGAAAAACATATAAGGGAACTTCACCAACAAATACAACATCCAGACATATAAACTTCACGAAGGTTTCCACGGAAACAGTAAGCTCACTTTATGTTAGCAAAGTCCTACCTATATACCAAGCTTCCAGTTCAAAACTAGTAAATTCAATGAAGTAACTACAAACTACTAAAATTACAAAAAGAAAAGAAAAGAGCCTACATTTATCTTCTCTAATAGCTTACTTTAACTAACTTCTTATATCGAAGCTCGAACTCAAACAGATCCGTTACCGAAAATCATTTCCAAATACGAATCGAGTAACCAGAAGCTTAACAATCGAGCTAAACATTTAAGCTAAAAACAGAAAGGAATTTGTTGAAAAGGAGTTAACTGATGGTGACATCGCCGTCTGGGCTTTGGAGAATCTTATCCATTCCCTTGGGTCCGATAGAGGTTCGGAGGATCCGTGCGACGGCTTTACCGGCGGCAATGTTGGCTTTTTGTGCTTCGATCCCTCTCAGCCTGGTTTTCTGGTCTTGCTCCTTGAGTATAATGAAGGGCCTCCCGTACTCATCAAAAGCCAACGCCATTTCCTCAAAAGCTTTCTTTACCTCTTCTTCTTCAGTGTTTCAGTCACTTTGAAAGGATTTGGAGCAAAATGTTGGCTCGCTTTTCGTTTCGCTCTGTATTTTGAATGCCCTAAATAACCCAGTGGTTCTGTCTCATAATTTCATTTCTCTCTTTTGCCTTTGGGCTTTGTTAGGCTGTTTGTATTTGGTTAGGCTTAGGCCCATTTATTGGGAAATACTCTCTCCTTTTTGGTGCACATTATACCATTATATAATTTTTAAGGGTAAATTACACGTTAGTATATGCATTATCAGTTTTTATCAGTTTTAGTATTTAAATTTTTATATTTTTAAAATAATACCTAAAGTTTAGTTTTTTTTTTCATTTTATTTCCCCAACGTTAAAAACTTAACACGTTTAGTATCTAAACTATCAATTTTGATCCGTTTAGCATGTAAACTTTCAATTTTTTTCAAAACTTAACGTTAAATTTTGAATAGATGTACTAAAATGAAATAAAAACTAAATTTTATATATGATTTTAAAAACATTAAAAGTTTAGACACTAAAACGGATAAAAATGATAGTTTAGATACTAAAAAAGCATAATTTACCCAAAAGATTAATTTAAATCAAGTATTGCATTAATTTATTATAAAATTATTTTTATCTCAATTTTCTTCCATCACAACGTATAAAATTAAACTCACATATTTTTTACTTAATATTCTTTTTTGTAAATTAATAATTGACAAAATTAATTAAATTCAGGATAAAATCAAAACAAAATGTATCCTAATCCATCAAAGTAAAAAAAAAAAAAAAAAATTGTGGATAAACTAATTTTAAAATGCATGGTTTTCCATAAGACTAGAAAAAGTTGTTCAAACAAATTAAAAATTATTAAAAAATAATTTTATTTTAATATAATTATCTAGATTTAATCTATCAACAAATTAAATTAAATCAGGCTATTACATTAATTTATTATAAAATTATTTTTTATCTCAATTTTCTTCCATACCAAGGCCTACAATTAAAATCTTATCTTTTTAACTTAATATTCTTTATTTATAATTAATAATTAAATTTAGGGTAAAATCAAAGCAAAATGTATCCTAATCCATCACAAGTAAAAATAAAATAAAATTAAAATTGTGGATAAACTAATTTAAAAATGCATGGTTTCCCATAATACTAGCAAACTATGCTCACTATATAAATCCATGGAAGCTCCCTTATTCGATGTGCAGAGCGGTAATTATCTATTATTAAACAATAAACCTCGGAGAAAATCTCCATTTCTCCGTCGCCAATCTTTTCTCCTTTTTAATTCTACCTGTAACACCAAAAATGGCTCGTCAATTCGTTGTTTTCGCTTTGGTCTTGATCGCCCTCGTCGGCCTGGTCTCCGCTGCCGGCTCCAAGTCCTCTAGCTCACCCGCTCCTGCGCCCGCTGGTGCCGGTGCCTCTGGTGGCCTTGCTGGTTCAACTGGAGCTTCTTTAAGCGGTGATAGTTCTCCTCTTTCTTCGGCTCCTAGTCCTGGCAGTGGTGCCGCGGCACTTGATGTCTCGACTGTTACCGGAGTCGGAGCTGCCGCCGTAGCTGGCTACTTTTTGTTTTAAACATGATGTGTTTATGTATGCAGCGGCTTCTTTGGTTTTCATACAAGGAAAGGTGGCTTGATTGATTATGTTGAGATTTGCCGAAATGGAATGGATTGGTGCATATTACTTTTAATTATATCGTGCAAAAAGTTGTTCATTTAAATTATTACTATCTAATATGAAGATCTTGTTTGGCGTAGATTTTTAAACGCATTTATAGGCTAAAAAAATTCATTTTGATTATAAAATCAATGTGAAACAGATAAAAATAAAAATAAAAAATTAAGATTTGTAATTTTTTTCATTTTCAGCTTTGCGTTTAAGAGTAAATTATAATTTTACCCCACTCAATTATATATCTACATTTTATTTTAATAATTTAATATTAATATCCTTACAAAATTTTATTATTTAATAATTTATTTTAATTATTTAAAAGTAAATAAAATCTATGTTTATATGTTAAAATATTAATAGTGAGTTATTATAAAGTATATTTTTTATTATAATTATATTTTTATATTTTATTATAGTTCAAGTGATAAATTTTATATATCATAATATTAGTAAGTGTCAAATATAATTTAATTTTTATATTTTTAATTCACAATATAATATCTATAATGAACATTTTATCATTTCAAAAACCTTGTCAAACTAACCCGAAATAATTTTAAAAGACGGTGGTGAGAACTTCAGTTTCTCTCACAACATAGAAGATGAAGATAATTTTATTTTTAAGGATAAATTATGCGAGTAGTCCTTTTTGTTTTGAGTATGATCGATTTTGATCACTAATTTAAAAATTAAAGGTAAAATGGTCTTTAACGTTATCGGTCTATCTGGTCTAAGTCCTTACACCGTTAACTTCCGTTAACCTTTAATTAAAGTATGAAGTGACAGTTAAAAAATATAAAAAAAAAAATCCAAAATCCATGTGTACCACTCTTTCTTCTCTAAAGCACATCTCACATGGACAATGAACTTGCAATAGGAGCAAGAGTAACTCCCATACTCCCCTTTCACTTTATTGTAAACAAAATTTTATAATCACAATCCCCGAACTCTTGAGGTTGAAGGAAATATTTATGGAAAATTGGGTGTTCATGTCGGGGGATTACGACTATGGATGATAGAGAAATACATTATTCATAGATTATAAGGTTGCGTGTAGAGCATATATAGCAAACATAATTTCCATTAACACCATATGCATCACAAATGAAGGAGACTTGTCTCCACAACAATGTGAAAGGGTGTTCATGGGTGTTTTCTTTAATGGTAAGAGGTGGTGATGCACACTCGAAATGAAGGTTAAACATGTAAGTTGAACAACGATAAACAAATTTATCGCGTTGGGTTTCTTTACATGCCTCGCACGATGGGTTGTTTTGGAATACTAGAACGAGAGGATATTTACGGTGGCAGAGGAGATCGAGTATAGGAGGTAACTGTGCACATGTTATATGAAGTGCAAATTTACAAGGTGAACTAGAATAGCTTAATACGGTAGCCTTTTACGACATAGATTGCAAGGGAAAATCAAACCTTGAATACGAAACTGTAAAACAAGAGGATGGTTCTTATGAATGGGGTAATTGATTTTAGGAGGTAGTTCAACACATGTCTTATGTAGGTTAAACTAGGGATGGGCATGGGTCGGGTCAGATTTTTGGTTCACCAGACCCGACCCGAGAACAATGACTCATCCACCTGAGATCCGACCCGATTCGCATGAAACAAGATTTCACCCGACCCGATATATAACTTAAAAAATCAATCCTACCCGAACCGAAATAATAAAAAAAATATTATTTTTATTCAATAAAAACAATGACTTAATTGAAAAAAATAATATATAGAGGGGTATTATTGTAATTATTCTCAAATATATAAAGTAAAATTATATTTTTTTTCGGGTCGAGTCGAGTATTTTTCCCCCTAAACCCGACCGACCCGATCGGGTCAGGTGGACTCCCATGCCATCCCTAGTTTAAACCCACAATCAAGAGAAAAGTGCATAGATCCTAATAATGGTTCCCAACACACAAAACGTCTGACCCTCTTATGTTATTTATCATTGTCTTCAGCAGAGATCAAAGGAACTTTGAGAGGTACACGTTTAACCTTGAATACGAATATAATTTGACATTAAAAATTTGCAGCAAATAAAGTTTGAAGAAGAAGAAGAAACTCGTGGGTTTTTTTTTAATTTTTAATTTTCACATAATACTTTTGTTAAAGGGTTAACGAGACTTAACAACTGAGGATTAAAATCTAACGGATCGATAACATTAGAAACCATTTATCATTAATTTTAAAATTGGTGACAGAATTCGGTCATACTAAAAACAAAGGGGGCTATTCACATAGTTTACCCTATTTTTAAATATCATATAAACCAAATTGATATAATATATAAATAATATGGACTAAATATATAATTATATCAATTTTACTAATTGTTATATTAATTTATCCGTTAAATATTAATGGAAAATAACTTATTTGACGTTAGTTAAATAATTAAGTGATTTAATTGATAAAATTAAAAGATCAATAACAAATTAAAATGTACATAATCAAGTAAGTATATATATAATTTACTCCAAAACTTAAAAGGCCAACGAATCACATAAAAGGAACAATATTTCTTTAATTATCAGATAATTAAAAAATAATATTTACAATTTTTTAATTTCAATTTTATCATTTTAAGGATAAATTTGACCTCTAATCTATACTTTTTATTAAATTATTCAATTTTAATTGATATGTAGGTTGAAACAATAAAAAATTAATGATAATAATATATAAAATATACGTGACAATTCATATTAAATACACGATATATAACCTATTATATACTTGTATAATATAACTATATTTTAAAATAAAAACATTTGAAAATGAGGAGAAAAACAAAAAAATATAAATTTTAGATTAAAATCAAACTTTTTAAAAAGTAATTAAATTATATTTGAGTGGACTCATTAGATTGTTTAAATTTAACGATTTTAAAGTAATTAAAGTTAAAATTAAAATTTAATTTTATAATTAAAAAGTAACAAGAACCCGAAATTTAATCTAATTCACTGTACAATCTATTTTTGCATGGTGAAACTTATAAATGCATGGTTAAAATAGAGTAGTAAAACCAACAAGCATCTTGTTCATTAAGCAGTAATTCTCTACTGTTAAAGACAGTAACTCTAGAGAAAAACTGTATTTCACCACCACCAATCTCTTCTCTCTTCAACAAACATCCAAGATCAAATGGCTCGCCAAATTGTTGTTGTTGCTGCTGCTTTGGTTTTGATTGCCCTTGTTGGGTCGGTTTCCGCCGCTTCTCCGGCTTCCAAGCCTACGTCCGGCGACTCACCTGCCCCCGCACCCGGTGGTGCTACTTCGATCGGAGCTGCTGCAGGCGGTTCTCCTTCCTCCCTTGCTTCCGCTCCTGGTCCTAGCAGTGATGCCACCGCCGCACTTGATGTCTTGGCGATCGGAGGAGTCGGAGTAGCCGTCGTTGCCGGCTACTTTTTGTTTTAAATGCGTTTAAGAATGCCATAGCTTTTCTCATTTTGATATGAGAAGGAAGTTTTATTAATCATGTTGAGATTTACAGAATTTATTGTTCGTCAATAAATAAATGGGATGGATTGGTGCATGCTGAAAATAAAGTGTTTTCTTACCAAGTTTCTTGTTTTTTGGGTATGAAACATAAAAATTAACACAATCACGTACAAAATAACTTAAGGCCGAATGATGTTTGAGTAGCTCAAACTTTTGAAAAAAATCAAAATAGTCCTTAAATTTATATAGAGGTCATTTTGTATTCAGATTGGATCATTCCGATTTGATCATTCCTATTTGATTTTGAATGTTATAATTTAGAGCTCATATTTGATATTAATTTTATTTGTTAACATGTCACATTATCAACTTAATACGAGTTGATGATAAAGTAATTGTTTCATAAAAAAAACAATATCGGCATCGTAACATAACTTTTAAAAGTTTAATGATAAAAAATGAAGTTTATCCAAGTGCTAGTGACCATTAATGTGATATCCTGCAATATTTAATTAATTAATAGGACAATTTGGTTTATGAAATGCAAATTCTTGCCTATAAGTTCATGCAATTCATCCAAATGCAGTAATAACCAATCAATTTTAAAAAGGGTAAACTACGTGTTTAGTATTTAAACTATTAATTTTGGTTCATTTTAGTATATAAACTTTCATTTTTTTTCTAAATTATACCTAATGTTTAGTTTTTGTTTTATTTTAGTACCCACTGTTAAAAATTTAACGCGTTTAGTACTTAAACTATCAATTTTGGTCCGGACCAAATATCTAAACTTTCAATTTTTTTCTTCAAAATTTAACGTTAAGTTCTAAACGATGGTACTAAAATGAAACAAAAATTAAATTTTAGGTATGGTTTATGTATTATAAAACGGACCGAAACTGATAATTTAAGTACTAATCACGTAGTTTACCTTTTTGAAAATTTTAAATTCACTCAAGCAATCTATTTTTGAACGGGGTGGAACTTATAAATACATTATTATAATAGAATCTTGTGCATTAAGCATTGATTCTCTATTGCTAATACAAAAAGCTTTAGAGAAAACTGCATTTCTCTATCACCAATCTCTTCTCTTTTTTTTATTTCTCTTTAACAAACATCCAAGGCCAAATTGCTCGCCAAATTATTGTTGTTGTTGTTGTTGTTGTTGCTGCTTTGGTCTTGGTTGCCTTTGTCGGCTCGGTTTCCGCCGCTCCTCCTCCTAAGACTGGCGGTGATTCAGCCGACCCCGCACCTGCTGCTGCTGCTGCTTCAGTTAACGGCTTGATAAGTTCGACCGGAGCTGCCGGTTCTCTTTCACGGTCTTGCTTCTGCTCCAAGTCCTAGCAAAGTAGCAATGATGCCGCCGGCGCACTTGATGTCTCGACTATCATAGGAGTTGGAGCAGCGATTGTTGCTGGCTACTTTGTGTTTTAAATATGTTTTAAGAATGAGATAGCTTTTCTCATTTTGATATAATAAAAGTTAATAAATTGCATGATCATGATGGAAGAAGTTGAATGTGAAACATGCACTTGATTGTTTGACCCAATAATATCTTCTTGGGTAAACTACGCATTTACTACCTAAACTTTCAACTTTATTCAAAATAATACATAACGTTTAGATTTCAATACCCTGTCGTTAAAAACTTAACGCTTTTAGTACATGAACTATTAGTTTGGTCTGTTTTAGTACCTAAACTTTCAATCTTTTTAAAATTTAATGTTAAATTTTGAACGAGAGTACTAAAATGAAACAAAAACTAAAGTTTTTAAAGGCGAAGTACTAAAATGAAACAAAACTAAATTTTAGGTATGATTTTGAAAAAAATTGAAAGTTTAAATATTAAAACGAACTAAAACTGATAGTTTAGATAATAAACGTGTAATTTACCATATCTTCTTTTAACTCTAATTTTCACAAATATTGGGACAACAAGCAGAATAAACTGGCCATGAAATCACCTGACAATAAAAACCTCTATAAATTAATAATGACGGGATTATATAATTTTATTAATTTATAGAAGTATTAATTAATTGATAAATGGATGTCAACCACCTATTAGATTATCTAAGTAAGAATGATACATATTTAGAGACCCAAAGTTTAAAAGAAATTGTAGTTAGGGTTATTTAGAATCCTATCGAGGATGAAACTGAAGATGATACAATGTCTTTGCAACCAATTATGCAAAAGGAGCGGCAACGACTCTTCACAATTTTTTATTGCAGTATGAGAATGCAACACTAGAACGTTGTCCTACTTATATTTATAATTTTATATAATTATTAATTTAGAACATTGAACGGATGCCCGGATTCCCTCGCATAGCTCGCTCGGTTGCCCTCGCATAGCTCGTTCGGATGGCCTCGGATGCTCTCAGATGGACTTAGATGCTTTCGGATGGCCTCAGTCGGATGACCTCGGTCGGATGGCCTCGGATGCCCAGCGTGTTGGGACGTGCATGGAACATGCAATCTCTTGTAGGTCGCCGGGAAGACATGGCGACCTAGTAGGTCGCCCGGAAGGCATGGCGACCTACGGTCAACACTGTGGATTTCACCCTATTTAAATAATTAATCTTGGGAGTACGTTATATCGTTAAATAAAAAATTCGAGAACATTATCTCGAAAGTTTTGCCACAATAAAATGATAACATTAATAGGAAAAAAATTAATAATATTAATAATAAACATATAATAAAAAAAATGTGCATATATATATATATATATATATGATTCAATAACAGAAGTCCGAAATTTAATGTAGTTCACTCATGCAATCTATTTTTGACATGGTGGAAATTATAAATGCATGATGAGAATAGAATAGTAAAACCAACAAGCATCTTGTGCATTAAGCAGTGATTCTCTATTGTAGAGAAAAACTGCATTTCACCACCACCAATCTCTTCTCTCTTCAACAAACATCCAAGACCAAATGGCTCGTCAAGTTGTTGTTGTTTTTGCTTTGGTCTTGATTGCCCTTGTTGGGTTGGTGTCCGCTGCTTCTCCGGCTTCCAAGCCTACGTCCGGCGACTCAGCCGCCCCCGCACCCGGCGCTGCCAGTCCAATCGGAGCTGCTGCGGGTGGTAGTTGCCGGTTCTCCTTCTTCCCTTGCTCCCGCTCCTGGTCCTAGCAGCGAGGCCACCACAGCGCTTGATGTCTCGGCTATCGGAGGAGTCGGAGTAGCCGTCGTTGCCGGCTACTTTATGTTTTAAATACGTTTGAAAATGGGAATGCTTTTCTCGTTTGATACGAGAAAGAAGTTACATTTATTAATCATGTTATGATTTACAGAAATTGTTGTTCATCAATAAATAAATGGGATCGATTGGTGCATACTAAAAATAAAGTATTTTCTTATTAAGTTTTATTCTAATTATATCACGCAAGAATTATTCATTTTAGTTTATTGTTTTTCCTATACGAAAATCATCACAATCTCATAAAATAATTTTATAATAAGCGAATGATCATGAAAGAAGAAGCTTAATGTTAAACAAGCATTTTGACTAAAGTTCAAGGATCAACTTAATAATTAACCATTTTTATTAATGTATCATGTTATTAAACTAACGAGAGTTAACGAATCAATGAAAAAAAAGTAATCAAAACATAACCCTTTTAAAACAATCGACTAAATCAAGATAGATAAAAAAAAATCACTCGTGTAGTTTATCCGATATCAATTAAACCATTAAACTTTTAATTAAAAATCAATTATTCGTGAATTTAATAAAATAAGTCAATTAAACTATTCTATCACATCATCATTGATACGTGAACTATAATATTAGCATTGTTTACCATCATGCCATCATAAAAGATTGTCACATCAATATAATAAATCATCTTATAAGTATAATTAATTGTCACATCAATATTGTAACGATCAATGTTAGTTAAATAAAGAAATTGATATAATAAAATGGGTTTAAGGATAAAATTAATTGTCACAACTAATGAATATATTATGCGACTTCTAGGGGTGAGCAAAACTCGAACTCGACTCGAAAAATCGATTTTTTCGACTCGACTCGAATTGACTTCAAGTTGTAATTTCGTATACTCGACTCCTCTCGAAAAAATTTCAAGTTAAAACCGAGTTGTAAAACGTAACTCGAATAACTCGAAATGTTTAGTAATTAGTATATTAATTTTAATGTTTGAGTCGAAGTTTGAATCAAGTACCTCAATTTTATATGATATATATAATTCACATATGAAGAAAATATGAAAAAATATATATGTATTGTATATGGTTATAAAATACCATTTAAATTAGAATCAAACGATGTCATAAATATTGTATTTATAATTAAATTTAAATAGAAACTCAAAAATTTGACTCAACTAGAATTTTATTAACTCGATTCGATTCGAAAAAACTTCAAGTCAACTTCGAGTTATGAAATATGACTCGTCAACTCGAATAACTCAAAATATTTTGACTCGACTCGATCGAACGCTCACCCCCTAGTGGCTTCAATATTTAAAGAGAGTGTTGTTATCTCTATAGATCCCGATTTCGAGCATATGTGTCTATAGGACGTGTATGAATTACCTATGACTAAGAAATACATTGAACAAATAATACATTTTAATCATATAAAAAATGATAAAATTAAGGGTAAATTTCATGTTCGGTACCTAGACTATTAGTTTTGATCCGTTTTAGTACTTAAACTTTCAATTTTTTCAAAACCATACCTAATGTTTAATTTTTGTTTCGTTTTAGTACCTCGTTGTTAAAAACATAACAAGTGATTTGCACGTGGAACCTTTTTTATGGGTAAATTGCATCATTCATCACTCAACTATCTTCTCACTCCTATTTTGGTCTCTAAAGTTTAATTTTTTTAAATTTTACTTAACTTTCAAATTACTCCTAATTTAATCACTCTAACTTTTAAATTTAATATTTTATTTTTAATTATATATTAATAAAAAAATAATATAAAAATATCATGTCACAAAAGTTATTCATAAAATAAATTAGAATGATTAAAATAGGAGAATTTTGAAAGTTGAGTAGTCAAATTGAATTTTTTTAAACTTTAGTACAAAAATAGGAGTGAGAAGATAGTTGAGTGCTGAATGATGTAATTTACCCATAAAAAATGTAGTGTCGTTAAATTTTTAACGGTGAAGTACTAGAATGAAACAAAAACTAAACATTAGGTATGTTTTTGAAAAATTGAAAGTTTGAGTACTAAAACATACTAAAATTGATAATTTAGGTGCTAAATGCATAACTTACCCTAAAATTAATACAATAAAAAAAGATAGAATTATTGATTTCAATTTATTACCATAACAAAATGTCTCTTAATCCTAAAATAATTGGATGATTAAATCAAAATTATCATAGGAAGCCAAATGAATAGTAAGCGATTCTTTCTCTTTCCCTTTATGTAAGCATCTTTGTCTTTAATTTCGATTATTAATAAAATTTAGGATAAAGTACATAAATAGCCCCTCGATTACAAAGTATTGTTTTATTGAGTGTTTTGATTATTAGAAGTTACAAAATGATTCTTTGACTATAGGACATTGCTTTTTTAAGTCCCTTGGCCACTAAAAGTTACAAAATGGTCACTCGACTATTCATTGTGTTTAAAACTCGTCCGTTAAAAATTTGATGGTAGTTTGAGTTGAATGTTAATATGCTGAATGTGATATGATAATCGTTTGATATTTTGTGATCATATTATATAATGTCTCAGTCAACAAGTTAACGTCGAACTCAAATTACTATCAATTTTTTAACGGAAAATGATGAGTTTGGAACACAATGAATAGTCAGGTGACCATTTTGTAACTTTTAACAGTCAAGAAACTTAAAAAAATTATAACTTTTGATAGTCGAATGACTCAATAAAATATCACCCTATAATCAGGGACTATTTATGTACTTCACCCTAAAATTCAATTGCCAAGCGAAAAAAATTGTAGGTCTCCACTTAAAATGAACGGTGTTTCATAATACTCGTAAAGCGGTTAAATAACCGAATATATCATGTCTTATCGCATGGATTTAGAATTTTAATCACTATATAAATCTCTCAACCCTTGTTCATCGTACGTGTAATGTAGTGATTCTCTATTGTTAATTATAACAATAAATCATAGAGAGAACTGCATTTCTCTAAAACATTCTTTTCGTACCAAATTATCAAATAAAAGATGGCACGTCAACTTGTTGCTCTTGCTTTCATCTCGATCGCTTTTGTTGCTATGGTTTCGGCTGCCGCCTTGAAGTCGGGTGCTTCGCCGGCCCCGGCGCCAGGTGATGAAGGCGGTAATGGTATTAGTGCTCCTCCCGAAGCTTCTAGTCCCGCTCCTAATCCCGACGGTGGTGCCATTTTGGAAGTTTCGAGGGTTGTCGTCGGAGCGGCCGGTGTCGTCGGAGCGGCCGGTGTCGCCGGTTACCTTATACTTTAAATGCGTTCGAGAATGTAACGGCCTTTGTAGGTTTGAATTGAGGGAAAAGAAGCTACGATCATTTATTAACTGTTTTGAGTTTGTGTAATTTGATTTTTTTTTTGGAACGAAGAAATTGTACATACTCATTTATGCACATAAAATCTCACAATCATTCTTCAAGTATTCTCCACTAAACATTTAATATAAAGATTAAACCATTTGAAATAAAATAAAGAGTTAATTGCATCATATATCCCCAAATTATGACCCTAATTTCAAATTAGTCCTTAAACTTTTAAACATTCCAATTACATCTTCAAACTATGACTCTTATTCTAAACCAGTCCTTAAACTTTTGAATATTCTAATTTCATCCCCAAACTATGAATCTCATTCTAAATTGGTCCCTAAACTTTTAGATCTTCCGAGTTCATCCCCAAATTCATCCAAATATGTAATCCATTTCAACCATAGTTTAACCTAATTTTTTTTTCCAAACATATAATAATATAGCTTGGCCTAATGATTTTATTAACAAGAGATATGATTAGTATATACGTATAATTTAGGTTAAAATGGAAATATACAAAAAGTTTGGTGACCAATTTAGAATGAAGTTCACAGTTTGGGAATGAAAATTGAAATATTCAAAAAATTTAGGGACTAATTTAAATTGATAGGCATATTTTAAAGATGAAATCATGATACTTAAAAGTTTAAGGATCAATTTAAAATGAAGTTAATAGATTGACGACGTATGATGCAATTAGCTCTAAAATAAATTTAAAGTTCGGTGAAATAATTGTTTAAATATGATTATAAAATAAATAATATCTTTTAATATAAGGGTAAAGTACACAAACGGTCCCTTGATTTTAGGGTACTACTTTATTAAGTCCCTTGACTATTAAAAGTTACAAAATGGTCCTCCAAATATATAATGTTGCTTTATCAAGTCCCTCGACTATTAAAAGTACAAAATGATCACCTGACTATTCATTATGTTCTAAATTCATCATTTTCTATTAAAAAAATTGATGGTTGTCTAAACTGGACGTTAGAATGATGACTGAGATATGATAGTCGTTTCAGAATATCGTTAATTTTTTTAACAAAAAATGACAATTTTGGAGTATAATAATTAGTCAGGTGACCATTTTGTAACTTTTAATAGCCAAGGGACTCAACAAAGTAACAATCTATAGTTGAAGTACTATTTTGTAACTTTTAATAGTCGACAGACCTAATAAAGTAATATCCTATAGTCGAGGGACCATTTGTGTACATTACCCTTAAGATTAATATAATACTTCTATGTTCGTACACTCAAATGAAAAAATGTAACCCAATTGATATCACCCTTCCAAAGCGAAAGGACATTAAAAGTAAGAATGAAATTAAAAGACATATATTATAAATAATTATTTAAAGTATTTTTAAAAAAATAAAAGTTAAATTTTGTTTAGATCAATAGATATTTAAAATATTTTTATTCAAAAAAGGTACCTAAAGTATTTAAATTTTTTATCTAAGTTCTAAAAAAGTTGACATGTGATATTAATTAAAGAATACTTTAGTATTTATATGAAAAAAATTGAATACTTTATTGTTAGGATTTTCGGAAGCTCGAATCGACAACCGGAACGGTTTGCAAAGAGGGGTCGAAACGGTTTTGTGTTTAGGGAGTAAGGAGATTGAAATATAGAGAATTGCACAGCGATTTATAGTGGTTCGACTTTCTCAATCAAAGTCTACGTCCACTACCTTAGCTCCTCACCAAGGATTTCCAACAAATTCACTAATTGTTCTTTCTTTTGAGGATAAAGAGTAACCTTACAAACTCCCTAGTTTTTTCGGGATAAATTAGAACATTTCCCTAGCTTTTACACGGGATTAGCTAGAACATTTCCCCTTTACAAAAG